AAACGATCGATTTGCAGTAAAACATGTTGACAAAATTAAATTTCAATTTTATTCAATAAGGAATATCAGAGTGCGCATAAAAAGTTTAATGTTTTCATTCGTAAGCCAATAGAGCTGATAAATTGGCCATGATTGCTAGGCATAGCACTTCTAGGAATGTGAACCACAATATATCTAACCAATATTAACTGCAACAGAAAGAATTATTAGATAGTGTAAAGAAAATAGCGTTAATAGTGTATTTAAAATAATATATCGAAAGTACGCTTATTTCTATGGTAGCATTAAACCACTGATCTACCGATTAAGCAACAATGACGGGAGGTGTAGTACGATCCCATGATGAGCTTTCAATGGGAAGAGCCTTCTCGTATTCTTGTAGTACGGGATTCCGATCACCAGTATAAACGCAATCATAGCTTTCACCATCCGAATCGTAGTCGTGAATGATCTTAAAACTAATCTTATTGAAATTGAACAAATCCATCCCTCTTTTATTGTCTTTCATTGCAATTATCGTGACAATGTGAATTCATAAAAATTACCCGAGGTGGTCTCTTAGACGTTGCTAATAATATGTCATAAATACCAATGGGTAATGGTAACATAAATAGCGCACTTTTCATCGTTACGGAATATTTCGAGAATTAGTGTCTTGATGAACAAAGACATTGTGAATTCGAATACATTTAAAAAAAAATTCAAGACTAATAGGAATTGAAATTGTCCGCGGCTGAATTTAAGGAAAAAGATTGATGATTGGAAATTTTCAAAAAATCAAAACAAATCACTAATTTTAGCGTCGCACCTGCCTTTTGCTTTGCAAAAACAGAAATGGAAACTGAATAAATTTGTAGGAAGCAAAACAAATATGCTGTCGGAAAAACCGAAATAGCTGTATCATAAAACCATTCATTCAAATAAATCGCATTTGCATTTTTTTCTCTCATGCTTAAAGTCATGAGTCAGCTATCTAATAATTTACATATAAAAGTGTTTTTTCTGATGTTTTGTCCATATATGGTAACTAATTTGTAAAGGCTTTATCCCATGCAAAATCTTTTATACAATGGTGAGAAAGCTGTACATCAGATAAAATAATTTCTATGCAATTTTTTCTAAAGAAAACTGTTCTTATATGTAAATTTCCCTTGCACCTGTGAGAATACTGTCAATATGTAATGATTGTTCCTCTTCACACATCCCATATATAGACCCTAAGAATCTCTAACAAGATCCAATGTTAATTTTCTTCACGTCGCCACTCAACTCTATTCAATACAATCCTGATTTATTTCTTCTCCGTTTACGAATTGCTACTTCAATATTTCTCCCGGTATTCTACGTTATTAATTGGGACTTCATTCTACTATAATCGGAATTAGTTCTAACATGTTTTTATTGTATTTGTTATTTAAACAACAATAAAGGATAACTACTATACTCCTCGAACACATAACCAATCAATATTCAGTAAGTCATTCTTTTAAAAACAGCTTTATTACTAACAAGAACAGTAATCCTCATCATCTAATTCCTCATAATTTTTGTCACGACATATGCAACCAATTTCTATAAACATGCAATGAATTCATTTTTAATCCAAATAATCATTGCTCCATACAACTGTATGACATGACTCAAAAAACAGTTTTTTTTTCTTATTTTGGTGATGGATTTTGCAAAATTTACAGTAACGCTCTGATTATTTCGTATATTTTTTGCATGCTATAATATCGTCTTTTTGTATTTCAATTTATCTGTAATCCTTTTCATGAGGCTTTCGTCGAGGATTTAAAGAGTATTCATCAACTGTTAAGTTGGAGATAGGAAATTTTAATGTGAGAGAAAAAATATGAGAAATATTGCAATCGCACAGATCAAAAGTTGCTTGAACTTTGGTCGTTTAATTCCATTCAATATAATATAAAAAAGTTTCTATTTGAGCATTTCTACCATTTCATAAATTTCGTATTTCACCTTGTCCTTCACTATGTCAATGACACAGATCATTTGGTTCAATCTTCTGCTTTGCATCACTTTGGCTTATAATGAAACTTTCTCTCTACTTAATCCCGACACGGATGTTATTACCACGTATGTTCATTATCCTGGTTACAAACAAAATCTCTTTCAAGAAAGCATTGACAACTTCAATTTATCATCCTTTGATCTATACCAGTAAATATAATATTGATGGAAAAATACCGGGAGGTAACATTAAAACTGAACTTTCTGATTCTAATATATATAAGAAAAAGTGAATAGTTCCTAGTAATTCAAGTAAATGTAATACGTTTATTTCACGACATTGATATTTTTATCAAATTATATAATTAATTAGCAAATATTGTAATGGAGTGCTAATTACAAATACAAGTGTTATAAGAGGAGTTTTTCAGAAGAGCAAAATCATGAGCGTCCTGATGCCGGATGTAATGCATGCTTTTAAGAATCGCGATGAATATAGAAAAACCACGACGATGACAATCATATCAGCCCATATATTCATTATTCTGGTTATAACCTAAATGTCACTCTGAACTACCTTCACCATACATTTGTTACAATCGACTACGACAATTTGGAGACATTGTTTGGACAAAATGATATATATATAACACTGAAGGAGAAAAAATGACGCGAAATTACCGGAAATGAGTGATGACAACGACAAATGATGACCACACCCAGGAAGTCACCGACAGCTTCACACTATTTGACCAAAATACGAGTACTTATAACAGCGAACGGGGAAATACTGATCGAAAATTGCTGGGAATAACTTTTGACAATGATCTCTTCCGAGGACGCATAGACTATTGCAATTTATTACTGTTTAATTCAGGCACCAGTACACACTATACTATGGAGAATCACCGAGAACAAGTAGTGAAGTATTACATAATGACATTTTCTTCCAACCCTTACAGTTTACTCAATCGTGTGAAAATGAGATTACAAGCAATGAAGAATTACAGAACGAAACTGATTTCGTTACAGCAGAAAATTCGCAGTTATCTGCTCCGCGATGTCCATCCCTTAAAAGTAATATTAAAATGTTCCTTTTGTTCCCGACATATGCCAAAAAAAGTGAACATTTTTTAGTAATTCAAGTGAAATGTGATGTGATATGTTTACTTTATGGCATTGATACTTTTATGATTAGTTTTCAAATTACATTAATTTATTAGCAAATATTGTAGTAGAATGCTAATTACAAATACAATTATAAGAGAATTTTTTCAGAAGAGCAAAATGTGAGCGTCCCCATGCCGGGTATAATGCGCGCTTTAAGAATTGCGGTGAACGTAGAAAACGTATGACGTACCATTTATTTACAAACACAAACGATCCGATTGTGGGCAAACATTCAATCATTTATCGTTTGCCTCTCACAGGGAAACACATCTACTTAAACATCGATGCGAAAGCTCTGACAGATCCTTCATCCGCAAGTACAGTTTGAAAAACACAAAGAACGATGTTTCGGAACTTCTCCCTAGTTTCACAAATTCAGTAAAATTTCAAGTACGCTATTTTTTTCAAATTAATTCTTATCAAAAAATTAATTCTTGTCGAGCATGCAACTTTTTTAAATTAATTTTTATCAAAAATTAGACTGTTTATTCGACCCTTCATGATCGCCCGATATTATAAGAGTTTTTCAGAAAAGCGAAATCATGGATGTCCTTATGTCGGACGTACTTTGCGCACGAACAGTCGCAAGGAATAGGTAGAACACAAGAAAACGCACGACGAACCATTTATTTACAAACGCAAACGATGCAATTGTGGGCAAACATTCAATCATTCATCGTTTGCCTATCACAAGGAAACACATCTACCTATACGTCAATGTGAAAATTCTGACAGATCCTTCAGCAGCAAGGGTAACTTAGAACAACCAAGAAGCAATGTTTCGTAGCTTCTCGTTAGCTTCGCAAATTTAGCAAAATTTCAAGCACTTTTTTTTTAAACAGTTTTTTTTTTTGGAATAGTAGAATCCATATGAAAATGTACTGCAGAACATCCGCGACCATGGAGTAGCAATGCAAAATTCAATAAATATTGCAATGCAGAAAATGAAGCCAAGTTGCGGCAAAGTGTTCATTTCCTTTGGCGCAGTGAGGCAGCATTTAGAAAATATTTGTTCTAACCTAACTGCGGCACATCCGCCATTCGGGCATGCTTTGAGAAATATGCGTAAGCATCAGAAGTTGCGCGGCATCTTCAGTGCTACCGTTACAGCAAATGCCAATTTATAGTCTCTTTTAACATTGGTTTTTTGATCTGTTTTGTTTTCATTCTTTTTACTAACCCATATATTATAATAATAATAATTATTATTAGCAGAACTGGCTACTTTTTTAAACTTAATTTCTTATCAAAAACCAGACTGCTTGTTTGATCCTTCATGATCGCCCTATGTTATAAGAGTTTTTAGAAAACTATGAGTGTCCTTATGTCGGATGTACTTAGTACACGTACAGTCCCAAGTAGTATACGGAACACAAGGGAACGCACAGCGAACCATTTATTTGCAAATGCAAACAACCCACTTGTGAGCAAAAGTACAATTGTAGCGCGTCATTATTCTCTCACAAGAAAACCTAAATCTCAACTGTGGCAAATTCTTCAGCCACAAGTACACCTTGCAAAGATCATAAAACAATGCTTCGTAACTTCTCGTTAGTTTCGCAAATTTAATAAGATCTTAAACATTTTTGCATGTTTGTCTCTCACATCACATTTCACTTGAATTACTAGAAAATGTTCACTTTTTTTTGGCATATATCAGGTGTCATGGAAAAAAATTAAGAGAATTAGAAGATGAGGGTTACTGTTCTTGTTAGTAATAAAGCAATTATGTTTTATAAAAAAATGACTTACTGAATACTGATTGGTATGTGTTCGAGAGTATAATAGTTATCCTTTATTGATGTTCAAATAACAAATACAATAAAAGCAGGTTAGAACTAATTCCGATTATAGTAGAATGAAGTCCCAATTAATAACGTAGAATACCGGGAGAAATATTGAAGTAGCAATTCGTAAACGAAGAGGAAATTAATCAGAATTGTATTGAGTAGAATTGATCGGGGACGGGGAGAAAATTAACATTGAATCTTATTAGAAATTCTTAGGGTTTATATATGGGATGTGTGAAGAGGAACAATCATTGCATATTGACAGTATTCTCACAGGTGCAAGGGAAATTTACATATAAGAACAGTTTTCTTTAGAAAAAATTGCATAGAAATTATTTTATCTGATGTACAGCTTTCTCACCATTGTATAAAAGATTTTGCATGGGATAAAGCCTTTACAAATTAGTTACCATATATGAACAAAACATTAGAAAAAGCACTTTTAGTAGATTAGATAGCTGACTCATGACTTTAAGCATGAGAGAAAAAATATGTAAATGTGATCTGTTTGAATGAGTGATTTTATGATAGAACTATTTCGGTTCTTCCGACATCAGGAACAAAAGGAACATTTTAATATTACTTTTAAGGGATGGACATCGCGGAGCAGATAACTGCGAATTTTCTGCTGTAACGAAATCAGTTTCGTTCTGTAATTCTTCATTGCCTGTAATCTCATTTTCACACGATTGAGTAAACTGTAAGGGTTGGAAGAAAATGTCATTATGTAATACTTCACTACTTGTTCTCGGTGATTCTCCATAGTATAGTGTGTACTGGTGCCTGAATTAAACAGTAATAAATTGCAATAATCTATGCGTCCTCGGAAGAGATCATTGTCAAAAGTTATTCCCAGCAATTTTCGATCAGTATTTCCCCGTTCGCTGTTATAAGTACTCGTATTTTGGTCAAATAGTGCGAAGCTGTCGGTGACTTCCTGGGAGTGGTCATCATTTGTCGTTGTCATCACTCATTTCCGGTAATTTCGCGTCATTTTTTCTCCTTCAGTGTTATATATATGTCATTTTGTCCAAACAATGTCTCCAAATTGTCGTAGTCGATTGTAACAAATGTATGGTGAAGGTAGTTCAGAGTGACATTTAGGTTATAACCAGAATAATGAATATATGGGCTGATATGATTGCCATCGTCGTGGTTTTTCTATATTCACCGCAATTCTTAAAAGCATGCATTGTCTTGGAGAAAAATTAAGAGAATTAGAAGATGAGGGTTACTGTTCTTGTTAGTAATAAAGCAGTTATGTTTTGTAAAAAAATGACTTACTGAATACTGATTGGTTATGTGTTCGAGGAGTATAATAGTTATCCTTTATTGATGTTCAAACAACAAATACAATAAAAACAGGTAGAAGTAATTCCGATTATAGTATAATAAAGTCCAACTTAATAACGTAGGATAACGAGAGAAATATTGAAGTAAAAATTGGTAAATAGGAAATAAATCAGGATTGTATTGAGTAGAGTTGAGTGGCGACGTGGAGAAAATTAACATTGAATCTTATTAGAAATTCTTAAGGTTTATATATGGGATGTGTGAAGAGGAACAATCATTACATATTGACAGTATTCTCACAGGTGCAAGGGAAATTTACATATAAGAACAGTTTTCTTTAGAAAAAATTGCATAGAAATTATTTTATCTGATGTACAGTTTTCTCACCATTGTATAAAAGATTTTGCATGGGATAAAGCCTTTACAAATTAGTTACCATATATGGACAAAACATCAGAAAAAGCACTTTTAGTAGATTAGATAGCTGATTCATGACTTTAAGCATGAGAGAAAAAATATGTAAATGTGATCTATTTGAATGAGTGATTTTATGATAAAACTATTTCGGTTTTTTCGACATGCATTACATCCGGCATGAGGATGCTCATGATTTTGCTCTTCTGAAAAACTCTTACATTTGTATTTGTAATTAGCACTCCATTGCAGTATTTGCTAATTAATTATGTAATTTGAAAACTGATCATAAAAATGTTAATGTCGTGAAATAAACGTATCACATCACATTTTACTTGAATTACTAGGAACTATTCACTTTTTCTTATATATATATTAGAATCAGAAAGTTCAGTTTTAATGTTACCTCCCGGTATTTCTCCATCAATGTTATATTTACTGGTATAGATCAAAGGATCATAAATTGAAGTTGTCAATGCTTTCTTGAAAGAGATTTTGTTTGCAACCAGGATAATGAACATACGTGGTAATAACATTCGTGTCAGGATTAAGTAGAGAGAAAGTTTCATTATAAGCCAAAGTGATGCAAAGCAGAAGATTGAACCAAATGATTTGTATCATTGACACAGTGAAGGACAAGGTGAAATACGACATTTATGAAATGGTAGAAATGCTCAAATAGAAACTTTTTTATATCATATTGAATGGAATTAAACGACCAAAGGTAACATGACTTCTAGTTTCTGTGAAGACATAAAACCTATTTTTCTCTATTCTCGCAGAAGTGCAAGCAATATAAAGTGAAAAAAAGTAAAAAAGATGCAAAAAAAATACGAAAAAGTAAAATAAAATACGAATATAAAAATACAATCAATGCAAAGTTGATATCAATGATCCAATCAATATTCATTATAATTCAGCACTGCAGTGTGTTCGTGTAACATGACTTGATATATTTCTTACACCATCAACAAGCTTTTCAAATTCTCGAACAGCCACTAAGAAGTCATGGTGAGAAATGACGTTAAAATTATGCTGGACAAATGACGTAAAAATCTGGTCGCATCTCTGCAAAAGATTGCATGTTGATAAATGGAACGATGAAGGAAAAAGAAAGTACGGTAACAATACTCAGATCTATCCAAGAACACGGACATGGTCACGTATCACACTATCAAGATTGGATTTAGTATCGATTATTACTTTTACCTTCAGTTTTCTTCTCCGATAGCCGTGATCGTACGCTGAATGCGTGGTGGTCGGACCCGTTTTATTTCATTTATTGAAATATCGGTTGGTAATTAATAGTAATTAATGGCTGGTTGGTTGATTGGTTAGTTAATGGTTAGTAAATCGGTAATTAATATAATCTAATTAAATTAGTTATTACTTATAAGGGGGCGGTGTCAGTGGAAAAAAAATATTTAGACCAAAGTGAACCAATTGACATGAAAGAAAACTGTGAGAATAAAGTCGGTCCGCTTTTATCCACAATAATCTTCCCATCCTTCGCATTCATTTTTTAACAAATTATAATTGGAAGGGACAAGGAAATATATGACTCCGCAACTTCGAGAGCATTTGCATGTTCATTTACATCTGATGCTGTTTCTCCTATGTATTGTATCCCAATGTTGTTTCGCCTGAAATAGCACAGTAATATTACCGTATCATTTGTTAAAATCCAACAGAATATGCTGGAAAGAACCGATAGAACTCACCTGTCTTTCCGTTTTTTTTTCCTTCAAAATCTTCAGTGCAGAACCGCTTGTAATTTCTATAACTGATAATGGAATAATTCCAATGACAGGTTCAATCGGGATAAACTCATCAGTTACATTTCGTCTCCCTTTGTTAAGACATAGTCTTCCTCAGCATTTTCATGATTGTGCTCTTCGTGGAATGATGAAATTAGAAAACATCCATTTGTTGTGTCAGCATTCAAACGAAGTCTGGCTTTGCAATCCAATGGAAGATAACTTTGATTTGGACGTTGACTGCCACCTGAAGGACTGAATTATGAAATTTTTGCTCTGCTCCTATAAGGCACTTGATCGAAGTTGTGAAAAGTGTCGCGTGAAGCTTCTGCTTTACTTACAGTGCGATAGCAAATTGAGTGACGTGAAGGCATTAACTCCTTGACTAAACTTATGAGGAGTAGCAGCAAGTTTTTCTGGTCAATTTTTTCGATGATCTTTGTACTTGTCATAGACGGCGCATTTTGACGTGTAAACTATACATTGGCACGATTGTATTTGTATAGGTAATGGAATAATTTTTAATTTCAATATTTACACGCACACTCATTGCATATTTCATATTTGCATTAACATTGTAAGGTTTGCATACAAACAACTGATCCATATATCCGCATAGTTTAAACGCCACAGCATAGATATCATCTCATTTCATTCAATAATGATATTTCTTGGTCTTTGTAGATAGTTGGTTAATAGTTTCTTCAAAATACTGGTATTTTGTACATTTAATCGTTTCTCGATTTCGAACAGAAAATATTTCTAAGAGAGAATTGGTTATTATTTTCTCAAGCTTATCTCATTTCGTCCATTCTAACGGACTCTTGTAAATCTTACTGTACGAGCTGTTAATTACTACTTTCAATCTCTTTGGATCTTTTTATACCAGTTTTCAATTCTTTTCGAATGCGTGTCGAGTTTGATTATAATTCTTTTCTGTTGAC